AAAGCAGGAGTAAGAGGGGGGCAGTAAAACCAGGTGGTTGAACATTGGTTTTACTCCCCCGGTCACCCACTAAAATCAGAAATATAGCCCAAGGAGGCTGTTCACAAGCTGCGTCCATTATACTTTGCACCACTGCTAATTTAATGTGATTTGCTGAGTTGAAATGAGGCACTGCCTATCAAACTTGCTCATCAAGTCAATGGGCTGCATTGTAACTGCAAACCAAACTTTTGGTTTGCAATTGCAGTGCAAAAGCCCATTATAAATTTCCAGCCCAGCAGACTCCACCCACTACAAGTTGCCTATAAACAAACTACAGGAGGGGGTGGAAACAAGACCAGTCACCCTGCACAAGGAGAGCAAGCAGCAGTGTTCAGTCTTTATTACAGGAAGGAAAAGTTTCACACTGGATCACTGCACAGATCTGGAGGAAATACACAAAGCTTATCAAGATTCAAGGAAGAATACACATGACCAATATTTGCTTATTCCGGAGTTCAGCTTTAAGTCTACATTGTTAGTCATGGAAGACATTTGATCTTACTACCTTAGTGTCCAATTAATGTCATAATGCTGAATCAGGAATCAGGAAGACTTGTAGGTAGAACTGTTGTACGTTCTTGAGATGATGATAGACGTGGTCAGTAACTCCCCAGCTGTCCCTGTAGATGGAGCTGAGGCTTCTATCCTAATTGTCCAGTTGTCAACATGGAACCCACAGAGGAGCTGTTGTCTCTTCTTATTCACAGAAAGAGTTTGATGCCCTGGTCGGGGGGGGGGGGGGGGTTCTAGGTTGAAGGACTCCAACCTACTTCTGTACTCAAAGCAGATAATAAACCAGCAGAATGGTGTACCAAAATCTGCACACCTCTGCTCCAAGGAAACTGTGCTATATACACTATATTGACAAAGGTATTGGAACACCGGCCTTTACAAGCACATGAATCTTAATGGCTTTCCAATCTTAGTCCGTAGGGTTCAATATAGAGTTGGCCCCGCCCTTTGCAGCTATAACAGCTTCAACTCCTCTGGGAAAGCCATCCACAAGGTTTAGGAGGTGTCTATGGGAAGGTTTGACCATTCTTCCAGAAGCACATTTGTTAGGTCAGGCACTGATGTCGGACGAGAAGGCCTGGCTGGCAGTCACAGCTCTAATTCATCCCAAAGGTGTTCTATCGAGTTGAGGACAGGACTCTGTGCAGGCCAGTCAAGTTCCTCCACCCCAAACTCCCTCATCCATGTCTTTATGGACCTTGCTTTGTGCACTGATGCGCAGTCACGTTGGAACAGGAAGGAGTCATCCCCAAACTCTTTCCAGAAAGTTGGGAGCATGAAATTGTCCAAAATGTCTTGGTATGCTGATCTCTTAAGAGTTCCCCTCACTGGAACTAGGGGGCCAAGCCCAACCCCTGAAAACAGCCCCACACCATAATTCCCCCCACCACCAAACTTTACACTTGGCACAATGCTGTCAGGCAGGTACCGTTCTCCTGGCAACTGCCAAACCCAGACTCGTCAATCGGATTGCCAGAGAAGCATGATTCATCACTCCAGAGAACATGTCTCTGCTGCTCTAGAGTCCAGTGGCGGCGTGTTTTACACCACTGCATCCAACACTTTGCATTGCACTTGGTGATGTAAGGCTTGGATGCAGCTGCTCGGCCATGGAAACTCATTCCATGAAGTTCTCTACACACTGTTGTTGTGCTAATCTGAAGGCCACATGAAGTTTGGAGGTCTTTAGCTGTTGACTCTGCAGACAGTTGGTGACTTCTGTGCACTTCAACATGCGCTGTCCCCACTCTGTCATTTTACGTGGCCTACCACTTGGTGTCCGAGTTGTTGTTATTCCCAGTTGCTATAATACCACTAATAGTTGACTATGGAATATTTAGTAGCAAGGAAATTTCATGGATGGACCTATTGCACAGGTGGCAACCTATCATGGTACCACGCTTGAATTCACTGAGCTCCTGAGAGCGACCCATTCTTTCACAAATGTTTGTAGAAGCAGTCTGCATGCCTAGGTGATGATTTTATACACCTGTGGCCATGGAGGTGATTGGAACACCTGAATCACATGATTTGGAGGGCTGGCCCAATGTTTTTGGCAATACAGTGTACATGGTGCAAAGCTGACCAGAATAGCCTGTGTGTCTATGGTAAGTCTCCGAACCCCAATAGATGGGGTAAATAGCTTAAAGGAGTATATAAATAGAACCCAAGGCTATACCCTGCACATATATGCCACAAACTGTGTACCCACAAAATATGCTTTAATTACTGTGCCACAAGTGAGTCTCATGGACCTGATCACAGACAGTCAAATTTAACTTTTCATTACATACGCTTTTTTTCCCACCGGGAGCCTACCTTGAAGCAAAAGTTCATTAAAACTTTAATAAGCAACCATCAATTATTTCAACAATATGTTCTTTGTTCAGGAGTATATATACAATATTGCACACAAAATGCAGGGGTCAGGCGTATGCAATGGGCAGCTCAACAGACAGAGTGCAGTATTCAGAAGTAAATAATGTACAGTCCAGCATACAGCGTGCAAGGGTCAGGAGTATTTAATGCACAGTTCAGCATACAGCGTGCAGGGTTCAGAAGTATGTAATGTACAGTTCAGCATACAGAGTGCAGGGTTCAGAAGTATGTAATGTACAGTTCAGCATACAGAGTGCAGCGGTCAGGAGTATGTAGAGGTATAGCCCAGCCTAGGTATAGCCCAGCCTACCGGGTTCAATGGCCATAAGTATGTAACATGCAGTACAGTGTACAGCATGACAGTCAGGAGTATGTAACAGACACCCTATGATACATACTGCTGGCCACTGTACCATGCATGCTGTTCTGCACATTGCATGCTCCCGACCTCCACACTCCCAAATTGCAGTGATCAGGAGCATTTAACAGTATGATAAGACATATGACAGTATATAGAGAGTTGCTTTGAAGAGCACTCCCCCATGACCTTTTCAACCACAACTCCCCAAGCAAAATTTATCCCCCCTCCCCAAGCAAAAATGAAGCAACAACCCTCTCTCTCCTCTTCTCTAGCCACATCTCCTTTAGTTGCTTACTTGCCAATCTGTAGGCCACAGTAAATAGGTAAAAAGCCCCCATTAGCAGAGAAAGGCACCCAGCATGGAGAAAGAGGAAGTCCTTCTAGGATTCTGCTTTGCATCATTTGGCACATCAAATCCAAGATGTCTGAGAGATTTCCTTGACTCTACATCTGCTTCTGGAGTTATACAGACACTTTATTGCTAAGCAGATACTTCTGCAAAGTCATGAGCAACACGACACGAGCTTTGCAGGGATAAGCACATAGCAAAAAAGGGGTGGGCATTGCGGACCTGAGGCACCAAGGGGGACACCTGAGACACATGTCCTCGGTGCCCATGCCTAGTGATGCTCCTGTCTATCCCTTCATTCACAATCTTTTATGACTTTGTGGACACCCTGTAAATAATTATATTTGAGGAGAGAATGTGTACTTTAATGACCCAATACTGTATTAAAAGAGGTATAGACTCCAGAGACAGGGATATAATTTCCCCCTGTACAAATCATTAGTAAGACCTCATCTGGAATATGCAGTTCAGTTTTGGGCACCAATTCACAAAAAGAACATTGGGGAACTGGAGAAAGTACAGAGAAGGGCAGCCAAACTGATAAGAGGCATGGAGGAGCTCAGCTATGAGGAAAGATTAGAGGAACTGAATTTATTCTCTCTTGAGAAGAGGAGATTAAGGGGGGATATGATCAAGGGGGATGTATAAATACATAAGGGGGGATATGATCTCCATGTATAATACATAAGGGGGGATATGATCTCCATGTATAATACATAAGGGGGGATATGATCTCCATGTATAATACATAAGGGGGATATGATCTCCATGTATAATACATAAGGGGGATATGATCTCCATGTATAATACATAAGGGGGGGGGATATGATCACCATGTATAATACATAAGGGGGGGGATATGATCACCATGTATAATACATAAGGGGGGGGATATGATCACCATGTATAATACATAAGGGGGGGGATATGATCTCCATGTATAAATACATAAGGGGGGGGATATGATCTCCATGTATAATACATAGGGGGGGATATGATCCCCATGTATAATACATAGGGGGGGATATGATCCCCATGTATAATACATAAGGGGGGATATGATCTCCATGTAGAATACATAAGGGGGGGATATGATCACCATGTATAAATACATCAGTGGTTCATATAGTGAACTCGGTGTAGAGTTATTCACCTGAGGTCATCACACAGGACAAGGGGGTATGCTGTACGTCTTTAGGAAAAGAGAATTAATCTCCAAAACATGAAAAGGTTTCTTCACAGTGAGAGCTATGAAAATGTGGAATAGACTCCTTCAAGAGTTGGTTATGGCCAGCTCAGTGGATTGCTTCAAAAAAGTCCTGAATTCCTTCCTAGATACACAGAATATAACTGGATACTAATATTTATAGGTAACGTTGATCCAGGGAATATCCGATTGCCTCTTGGGGGATCAGGAAGGAATATTTTTCCCAGCAGGAGCAAATTTTTTTTTTTTTTTATGGTTGAACGGGATGGACTTTTGTCTTTCTTTACCCAGACTAACTATGTAACTAGAACAAAGAAAGGTCAAATAACATTATAAAGAAATAAATGACGCAGAAAGTAATATATCCAACCTTTACTGGGACCAAAAAAAAAAAAAAACAACAATCATTTACATATATATATATACACATACAAAAAGGTTCAGTTATGAAAGTATCAAATCAAGAATGAGGTATTTAGACCAAACAGTATTCTCAATTTTTCCTCCAGGCACTAAGGCATCCATAGTAAAAGCAGCGTGACAACACTCAGTTTATCTTTATTCAAATCCACCAACTCATAGAACATTCAATAAAAGACACCAGAACGAATTGCATTGGTCGGCTCATCCTCCGGTCTCTGATGACATCATTAGTCCTGGATGCCGCATTTCAGATTGGCTGGAACAGCAACATCTAGGTTTAAGAAGGAAAAAAAAAAAAAAAAGGGAACATATGATGGATGATAGGTGCATACAAAGAAAAGTAGTTCTAAGGAATTCTAGAAAAATCAGTGCCATACACAACTGAAATCTGTGAGTTTTATAATATTTTATAATATAAAAGAGGAAAATATAAAACTAGTGCGATATTTGATAAGCGAACGCATCAATATCTGATCCATGAATGTAGCAGCAATTTTCAATTTATTCTCAAGCTGCCCATTGGATATTTTGGTTCTAATTTTTCCCTTCGTGTGCTTCATCCTTGAAAATAGCTGCTCACAAATATTGCTGCTGCCGAAAACTGATGACATGAATAAGGCCAATTGTGAAGAAGGGAATTTTTTCTTTGGGAAGATAAAACTTATAAATGTCCAATAAATGGACACTGACATTTTTTTTTTCATGCAAATGTGTTCGCTAAGTATAAATACAAAAAAAAAAAAAAATCAACATTTTTAAATTTACAATTTTGTGTTGGGCTGTCTTGGGCGTATGTGTTGGACAAGCCTGTGCTAATGCTTAGCCAGCAAACCCATCACTCCACCTTGTGGTTCACTACTGACACTACAATACAGCGCACAGGTGTCAAACTGGCCCTCCAGCTGTTGGAAAACTACAAGTCCCATGAGGCATTGCAAGATTGGCAGTTACAAGTATGACTCCCAAAGGCAGAGGCATGATGGGACTTGTAGTTGCGCAACATCTGGAGGGCCGCCAGTTTGACACCCTTGCTTAGCGCAACAGATAAAAGACAAATTAACCATTTCCTGACTGCTATAGCCGAATGACAGCTACAGCGCAGTTGTTCAGTCCTGGGAGGGTGTCATATGATGTCCTCCCAGAACTGCACCCCCCCAGTGGACATAGGTTTGGGTGTTATATGACATCCTCCTTTGGACGCAGCTGATCACATGGCATGGTAAAGGGCCAATCACAGCGGCCTTTTACCACAAGATCAGCTGTGTCCAATCAAAGCTGATCACAATGTAAACACACTTGCCGGTTATCGGCAGTACTTTCCTCACGCTGTCAGTGGGAGGAAGATACTGCCAATAACCTGCAAATGTGAAAGGAGACATCTACACTGATAATCAGGGCATTAATTAATAGTGCCCTGATTATCAGTGCAGCCTCAAAAGTGCCCAGCAGTGCTGGCAATCTGTGCCTGTCAGTGCCGCATATCAGTGCAGCGTCATCAGTGCTTCCTCATCAATGCCCAGCAGTGCCGCCTCATCAGCCTATCGTGCAGCCTATCGGTGCCCATCATCAGTGCCGCCTCATTAGTGCCCATCAGTGCCACCTATCAGTGCAGCCTCATTAACGCATATCAGTAAAGGAGAAAAAAAAATGTCCTGTTTGCAAAATTTTATAATTCGTTTTTTTTCAAAATTTTTGGCATTTTTTGTTTGTTTAGCAAAAAATGCGCAGATGTCTATGCAAGTCGCACCTGAAATTGCAAAAATTAGTGCAGAAACTACTTTTAAAAATCGGAATTGCACCGGTTCCATTGTGGGCAATAGGGTGCCACTTGTCATGTGACTTCAAACTGTCAAATTGCAAGACAAGTCGCACCGGGGTGAACCAGGGCTTAACTGTACAAAAAAGAAAAATTACAGGGTAGACCCATGACGTTGTGTTTGCAAAGCAAGCTGGAATTTATGAGAATGCTTTCTGGCAGACTGAAATATTGTGATGATGCAGTAGATTTAGTTTTCATTATCGTGTGTGTGTGTGTGTGTGTGTGTGGGGGGGGGGGGGGTGTCATCTCCCGAATGCCGGCCATACATGGGTTGAAATTCGACCGATTTTTCGTTTGAAAATCGGGTCTAAGAATAATCAGTCAATTTTCACTCTGTTAGTGGGTCAATGGCACCGGATGATTTTCGTGGTTCCTCCCATTTTCGGTGATTCGGCATGTTGGAAAATTCATAAAAAAACGACCGATTTTCAACTCAATGATGGTCAAATTGTACAGTCGTTTTTTCGAAAAGAGTATGCGCATGAGCCGTGACCTAGAAGCAACAGAGGTTTTGCCTGTTATATGGGTGAATTTTATGACTTGGTCGGGCGATTTTCGAAATCATTGATGGCAGCATTGGATTACTGAGCGAACATTTTCAATTTTCTGATGAAAAAATCGTTCGGAATTCGACCCATGTATGGCCTGTATAACTCTTCTAGCTTTCTGTTTAGCTGAGATTTGCTTAGATCTGCACATGGTATACATGAAATATTTCATATGCTAGTTTACATACTAATTTCATTTAAAAAAAAAAAAAATTAATATAAAAAAAAAATTAACCCTCTTCCTGCCCACCATCTGAATATAAATATCCTCCAGCATGACGCCTTGTACTGGGGATACGTTTTTAAAGTTTCCTTCTTTCCAGTCTCAGCATCTGCTGATACTTTAGTAATGCTGGTGGTTCGTAATCCCTGCTGTCCATGACAACTGTGGACCCCCCTGATGACCAGGAACCAATCAGCATTGAGCAGTGATGACATGCTGTCTGCAAGCTTCATTGATTAAAATGAACGCCTTAGGATGCACACTGCCACCTTCAGGCTGCAATGCTCCTCTGCAATGCCATATGTTAAAGGCGGTAATTAGACTGCAGTATTTTTTTTTTTTTATTATTTTTGATGTGATTTTTTTTTTTCACAGTTTTAATTAAAACATAGTACCAAATAAAAGCGCTACATGTTCTCAAAGTAAGGGAAAAAAATAATCAAAATTACCAAAAGAATTATTTTTAGTTGTCATCGGGGGGGGGGGGGGGAATCCTGTTCTGCTGTTCATGATCTGAAAAAAAAGGGAAATTTCCCTCACTTTGTAGAGAACTCCTCTCATCTACTGTTCCAGGATGGAAGTAAAAGGGAAATTTCCCCTCACTTTGTAGAGAACTCCTCTCTTCTACTGTTCCAGGATGGAAGTAAAGAGGAGTTCTCATCTACTGTTCCAGGATGGAAGTAAAGGGAAATTTACTCTCACTTTGTAGAGAAGTTCTCTACAAAGTGAGAGTAAATTTTCTTTACTTCCATCCTGGAACAGTAGAAGAGAGGAGTTCTCTACAAAGTGAGAGTAAATTTACCATCTACTGTTCCAGGATGGAAGTAAAAGGGAAATTTCCCCTCACTTTGTAGAGAACTCCTCATCTACTGTTCCAGGATGGAGGTAAAAGAGAAATTTCCCCTCACTTTGTAGAGAACTCCTCTCATCCACTGTCCCAGGATGGAAGTAAAAGGGAAATTTCCCCTCACATTGTAGAGAACTCCTCTCATCTACTGTTCCAGGATGGAAGTAAAAGGGAAATTTCCCCTTATTTGAAAAGAACTCCTCTCATCTACTGTTCCAGGATGGAAGTAAAGGGAAATTTACTCTCACTTTGTAGAGAACTCCTCTCATCTACTGTTCCAGGATGGAAGTAAAAGAGAAATTTCCCCTCACTTTGTAGAGAACTCCTCTCATCCACTGTCCCGGATGGAAGTAAAGGGAAATTTCCCCTCGCTTTGTAGATAACTCCTCCCATCTACTGTTCCAGGTTGGAAGTAAAAGGGAAATTTCCTCTATGGGACAGGCAGCAAAATATTAACTGGCGGTGTTTCATACCCCTCCCTTCTCTACCCGAAAAAAAAAAAAAAATAATATATATAGCTGTTCATACACTTTGAATGCCATGGAGGTATGCTGTGGTCACACAAGACATTACAGTATAGCTAAAAAGATAAACAAAACTTTTTTTTTTTTTGGATAGAGTAGTTGAGATGGACAGGAACACTGTCAGTATTTATTGCTGTCTGTTCCCCCCCCCGTTAGGAGATTCTCCCTCTCTCTATTTGTCCTGTTTGGGATTTTCTTTTAGTTTCAATGATAATGATAAATTGTGCGTTTTCCCCAGAAAAGCAATAGAGGGGAACTCTTCCAATGGGGACACTGGTTCTGGTGACCTGGGAGTCCCCTAATTTACAGGGATTTCCTCTCACTTTCTGTTTGGCTATGGGACAGGAAGTGAAGGGAAGTCTCCCCAATGGGACAAAGATGGCAAAATAAAAAACAAACAAGGGTTATAATCCTCCATTACTCTATCCAACATGGAAAAGTTTTGTCTATAGTTCTACTTTAAACCACAGTGGCATCTTGTGGTAGAGGACAGTATTGCACAAAATGTTCCCTATTGGCTGTATTGACAGGAACACAAATCACAAATGACTTTCCTTATGCAAAACGTCCAACCCACCTACACATTCTACTTTAAACCACTGGTAACTGTTGTATTATGTCTCTTGCTCTTTATTATCCATTTCAGCTTTAGAAGATTTTACCCTCTTCCTGACCAGGTCATTTTTTGCTATTCCTCACTGTGCCACTTTAATTGGTAATTGGGCGGTCATGCAACACTGTACCCAAATTAAATTTATACCATTTTTTCCACACAAATAGAGCTTTCTTTTGGTGGTATTTGATCACCACTGGGTTTATTTTTTATTATAATTTCTTCATAAATTTAGGCTAAAATTTATTCTGCTACATGTCTTTGGTAAAAAAAAATCCCAATAATTATATATTGATTGGTTTGCATGAAAGTCATAGTGTCTAAAAACTTTGGTATAAATAATGGAATTTTAAATTTATTCTTTTTTATACTAGTAATGGCAGCGATCAGCTGTGATAGTGCAGAGGGCTATCTGACACTAACTGGCACTTTGTGGGAATGGACTGACATTTCCAGTTGCACCTATACAGTGATCAGTGCTAATATACATTGTCAGTGTACTGGTTGGGAAGGGGTTTCCATCTAGAGGCAATCTAGACATTAACTGTGTGCCTAACATTGTGTAATATGTGCTGCTTTTTACTACAGATTTGTTTCTTTTCCCTTTGCAGAGAAAAGAAACAAAGCCATTGTTCCCTCTGTATAGAACCCTGTGTTGTTTGTCAACACAGAGCTCTGGTTTGTGATTAGGCACAGCCGATCAGCAGGTCCTGACCATGAATCATTGGCTGGAATCTGCTGACAAACCCCCGCCGTCCCAAATCACAGGGGAGTAGGTGGGCACGTGCCCTAAACAGGCAGTGATGATCAGGTATGTTGCTGTGCTTCTATGTACCCTGCAGCAGTATATCGACTGCGGTGGGTCGGCAAGCGGTTACAAATCCATATTCACCAGGTATCACCAGTTTTCTTAGCCTTCATAAATACCAAGAGCCTAAATAAAAGTCCTGTTCAAGGCCATACAAACTAATGTTGGAATCCCACCAGGACACCATCTGCATGGAGTTTGCATATTCTCCCTGTGTTTGTGTAGGTTACCTCTAGGTGCTCTGGTTTCCACCTACATTCTAAAGACATGCTGGTAGGTTAATTGCCTCCTGTCTACACTAGCCCTACTATGTGTATGTGAGATAGGGACTTTAGATTGTAAGCTCCTCGAGGCCAGGGACTGATGTATATAAAGCACCGCATGGTGTTGGTGCCATATAAATACCTGCAATAAAAAATGCTGGTCAGTTATAGTGCGGGAGAACAGAGACATGCCGACGCTTGCTCTCACCTATCTGAGCTGGTCTGGGCAGGTTCAGGTTATTCATGATCTTGACAAATTCCCCCTCACTCTTGGTCAGTCGGGGGTTCAATCGCTTCTCCTCTTCAACCGTGGTCACCGTCTGACCTGTAACAGGAGGAAAATAATCAGAAGCTACCTAGTGCTGGATGGCTCCTTAAATGGATCTATTGTGAACTCCTGTCCCCTGAAAGTCAACAGGTCTACCATTTGTAGTAATCTCCTCCCAGATGGTCCCACCATTGGAGGACAGCCCTCTGGTGCCTGCAGAATAATCTGGGAACACTTTGTTCTTACCATGCCAAGCACAGTTGACCCTTGTAGGGAGGAGGCAGCCCTCAGCTCTGATTGGGAAGGCAACAGCTACTTGTACACTGCAGCTGCTAAACTGACGTTTAGGAGATGTTCAGCGGGTTTTTTTTCAGCAGCCCCTGAACTCTCCCTAATGTTTTCCTATGTGTCCATGCACACTATGTCATTTACAGGCAGTTGAGGTTACAGGCATTTTTTTGAAAGCACCAAAATCGCGTTCAGGAGTAGAATTTACCAGCGTCTACAGGCCTCAGGGCCTGGTCTGTGCACTATTTGGCACGGTACCACTTTTTTATTTTCTATTTATTTAATTTAACCACTCCCAACGTCTTGTCACTTTTTCTGTTCTTATGTGTGTGTTTTTCACGGATGGAGGGTGTGGGTCCTCGGGCCTTACCTGAAGTCTAGGGGGAGGATGTGTGGCCCTACGGTTCCTTCCTCCCCTGATCCCTAGGGGGTTTTCTCTTCGGGAGAACCCCCTTGCCTAGTACTGGATGTCCGGCTTCGGCTGGGCATAAGGAACGGTGGTCCACCAGGCCTTTTGGCCAGGAGGACCAAATGGGAACCTTGTCCCTGTCAGGAGCTTCGTGCCCCGGGGGGGATCGGGTGAACGGTCCAACCCTTCCGGGGGTAGGACAAACACACCCCTAAGTGCACTTTTTCGTGTGGTGTTTTGCACTTGCACATTTTTTGTGAACACTTACGGGTTTTTTTCGTTATAGTTGCACGTTTGCGGACTTAAAAAAAAAAAAAAAAAAAGTAGAATTTACCAGCGTTTCAAACGCGTGTAAACGCGTTTATGCGTATTTGCGTTTAGAAGCATTTTTTTTTGCCTGGTCCACATCCAGATGCTGTCCAGAGCATTTTATCATCATCAGAAATGCATGCAAAGTGTTTTCCATGTATTCAAATGGACCCGGTACACCAGCGCAGTCAGTTCCAGGTTTCGTGTGAAGGAAGCAATGGTAGAACGCGCCATTATGGTCATGATGGGATCCATAGTGAATACAACCAGGAAAGACAGGTCATCTCAACACATACTGCTCTCTCTGCTTCTGCTCTCTCTATTTCTCTCAAAATGTCTGAAATAGTTAAATTATTTACTATTTTTCAGTGCATTCTGGGCATTTTAGATGGTATCCTGAGGTTATCTTTTAAAAATGATTCTAAAACACAAACGCGGTATGTAAAACACAGTTAAACTGACGTTTTTTAACCTACGTTTTCTAGCAGTTTCCAGCGGTCAGAAGAGTTTTCCAAATGCCCCGTGTACATGAGCCCTAATGTGGCTATTAATAAAACATTTGTTGCACGAACGTCAGGAAACATACGGTGAAATGTCCAGCTTGCAGGAAAATTTCGATCAACAGAATAACTTCTGTATATTTAGCGCCTTCTAGTGGCCAAAATGCAGTATAGTTTTCTGAAATACCTTAATGAGAAAATAAAACTGCATTCTGGCCAACGGACGATGCAGGAATGAATCTACGACAAAGACAAGGGAAAATCTTGCTCAGCTTGCATGAATGTTTTGTAAATAAAGCCCCTTAGGTTACTTTCACACTGATCCGTTCTTCTTAAGTTTTTGCAGTGGAAGAAAAACTTGTGACCGTATATTCCTATAGAACTCTTCACACTGATCCGTTGCGGGTACGGTGCGTTTTGCAAACTTCTGCTTGCTGCATTTTTTTCAAAGACACAATAAACACACACCTGCGTTGCGTTTTTGGCGCAGTTTTGAGTCACATTTTTTAACCCCTTCACGTCCAAGTGTATAACAAATCTTAAAGCCTAAGTAAAATTTTACAACTTTGACGTGTGTTAGTAAAACCGTACATATCATCACTACTACTTTGTGCATCCGGGTGAATTATACCACGTTTTCAGGACAAATTGGGCTTTCATTTGGTGGTAAATGGTAATTTATATCTCCCGATTTATTTTATTATCTAAGGAAAACTGGCACAAAATAGTAAAAAAAAAAAAATTGTTTTTTTTTTTTTTAATCTAGCTGTGTGTTTCTTGTTACTACCATAACCTATCACCAAACAACAACCCAAAATAAATTTTCCAGCTCTTGATGATCGCAGTGATACCATATATGTGTATGTTATTTGTTGTTTGTACCCGTAGTACAGCCCAGAAACAATAGTGCGCATTTTGTTTTTTTTACCTAAAAACACACTGACACCAATTTTAAAAACCTGACCTTTGACCCTGACCCAAACCCTAACCATAGCTAGGTATTTTTTAAAATTTCTTTACAAACCATTGTCTTTCTTTCTCTCTCTCTCGATCGAGAGAGAGAATGAGAATATCTCTCCTCCATTCAGAGAGAAAGAAAAAACAAGGGGGGGGGGGGGGGGGGGGGTCACAGTGACTGATCACTGTGACAGCCAATCAGAGGCTATCACAGCGATCATGTGACCCAGACCCGGGGCTCTCAGTGACACCCCGGTCTTTGTGCTGGGAGTGTGCTGTGCAACACACTCCCAGCACAAAAGGCAGCTACACAAAATATGCGCCCCCACGGAAAAAAGTCCATTTGTGTCACGTCAGTGCCACGTTTCAATTTTCCAGCTCTTGATGATCGCAGTGATACCATATATGTGTATGTTATTTGTTGTTTGTACCTGTAGTACAGCCCAGAAACAATAGTGCGCATTTTGTTTTTTTTTTTACCCAAAACACACTGACACCAATTTTAAAAACCTGACCTTTGACCCTGACCCAAACCCTAACCATGGCTAGGTATTTTTTAAAATTTCTTTATCTTTTTTTCTTTACAAACCATTGTCTTTCTCTCTCTCTCCCTCTCTCTCTCGATCGAGAGGGAATGAGAATGACTTCTCCTCCATTCAGAGAGAAAGAAAAAACAAGAGGGGGTTGAGCTTCACAGTGACTGATCACTACAACAGCCAATCAGAGGCTATCACAGCGATCATGTGACCCAGACCCAGGGCTCTCAGTGACACCCCGGTCTTTTTGCTGGGAGTGTACTGTGCAGCACACTCCCAGCACAAAAAGGCAGCTACACAAATATGCGCCCCCCCCCCCCCCCCCCCCCCTTTTTTTTTCACGGGAAAAAGTCCATTTGTGTCACATCAGTGCTATGGGGTTAAAAAATGCACGCAAACGTGGTAAAAACGCATATACATTTTTGCCACAGATTAGTGTGAAAGTAGCCATGGAGGTTCATCCATGCAGGCGGTTGCCTTCTGGCAGCATTCTTACCTTTGTTTAGTGAAAAGGGCAGCGCTCACAGCTGATGATTGAATGCAAACACCTTTTGTAGAATGAAGTGCCAATACATTCATACTCACCAGTGTAGTCATGGCCTGGGTACAGGAAGCAGCTGTCAGGCAGGCTGAAGATTTTGCTGTGTACAGAGTGGTACAGAGTACTGGGACAACCTGCAAAACACAAAAACATTTCATGATAGGAGTGTAACAGGTACAGAGACCATAACACACTTATTGATGAACTCTAGGAAACCGAAACATTCTCGGTTGCAGTGAGGGTGCAGCTGCAGCCAGTTTTAGGCGATTTGGTAAGCCAGTTTAACTGCCTGGACCCTCCGCTCCTGCAGGCTCCTCTGCTTTGCTAGACTGGTCCCTGCAGCGTCTCCCCCTCCCCATGCACCAGTAGTCCTGACGTCACTGAGACCAATGAAGGTACCATAGCCCTTCAATGGACAGACAGGTGCCAAGGGACAGTCTGGATATAGCACAAGGATTACAGCCTCTGTCAGGTGCTTATTGCAGTCTGTGTCCCCCGTAAGGGAGATTCACAATCTCTATTTGCCCTGTTTACCGTCATCACTGAACGTGAAAGAAAATTTCGGGTTGTCACCAAAACAGGAACAGAGGGGAAATCTTCCAATGGAGGACACCCAGAGATTCCCTCAATTTGGAGGGATTTCCTCTCACTTCCTGTTTTAGTTATGGTATAGGAAGGGAAATCTGTCAGTTTTTATTTCGCAGTCTGTGTCCCATTGGGGAGGAGAATAACCCTCCCTTACTCTATCCAAAGAGTTGTTTCTCCTTTAAAGTGGTTGTAAACCCTCACATATACCCAGTGATGTGACTGGCCTCAGATGATACACAGAGATGAAAAAAATCCTCCTACATAAGTTGTACCTGTTTATCTGCAGTCATCCCTCCTCTACAGCTGTTCAAAGTTCAGAATTTATAGCTGATGTGAGCTTCCAGAAAACAGGAGGTGAGAGCGGATTAGAGGAAGGGACACCCTCCTCTTCCCCCCCTGTCACACAGCAACAAAACTGAGGCCATCAATCACTGCCTGTGTGTTGGAGCTCCCTCTTCTATCACCATTTTTCTCTTGGTGTCAGAAAAACTTTAGAAGTGATTCATGCTGATCGCAGAGGAACAAAGCCGCAGACATAAATGACACTTCGTGCTCTGGATTAAGACAAGTACACACTATAGAGGGATATGCTTTGTTCATATTTCATGCCTCAGGTTTACAACCAATTTAATCTGATGCTGCTTATCTCACTTGGGAATATTAGCAATCAAAGGTTTTCGAATAAGTCCACAGGCAGTAATAGATCTGGGATGTTGGGAATATGAACATGACACCCACCCAAGTATCATCTCAGGTCTGCTGGTATCCCAAACCACAGTTTAGAGTTCACATCTATGTGTTTTAAGACTTAAAAAAGGAGATGTACAGTAAACGCTTGTTTGGTCATACTTCTCCTGTGGGTCACAAAAGTGCACTTACTTTTGCTCTCATGTGACCCAGAGTCAGCTGAATGCATGCTACAGCCTGTGGTCACAGAGCTGCTCCAGGCTCTGGAAGGATCCGGACAATATTGTCAGTATCCAGCTTGTTGCCTAACAGCTGGCTCCACTTCTCAGCACTCTCAGCGGTGTCCTCCCTCTCCAGCCCGGTGCTCCAGTGAATGCTGGAAGAGAGGAGAGTGGTGACTGACAGCCGTGACATCAATAGTACAGCACAGGGGTGAGTATGAATGTTTGTTTGTTTTTTAAAAACCCATACTTCTCGTTTAAGTAATCCCGCTTGCTGCAATGGTGAAGCGGGTGTCTAGCAAGCGTAAAAAATGATGCAAAAATGCATCATAAACGCAGAAGTGGCTAAATGGTTAGCACTTCCGCCTGGCAGTACTAGGTGCGTTAGTTCGAATCCCAACCACGGTACCACCTGCCTGGAGTTTGCATGTTCTCCCTGTGCCTCCGTGGGTTTCCTCTGGGTACTCTGGAGTATGGGATGAAACCAAAGACATGCTGGTAGGTGAATTGGTTCCTGTCTAAATTGGCCAGAGTATGTGTATGTATGAATGTGAGTGAGGGACTTTAAAATTGTATGCTCCTTGAAGGTTAGGGACTGATGTGAATGTACAAATATATATATATATATATATATATATATATATATATATATATATATATATATATATATACATACACACACACACACACACACACACATATACACACACACACACATACATACACATACACACACTTAAAGCACTGTGTATATTGACAGCGCTACATAAGTACCTGTAATAAATAAATAAGAGGGTAAATTTACTAAAACTGCAGCTGTCAGAACCTGGTGCAGCTGCACATGGTAGCCAATCAGTTGCTCAATTAAGCTTTGGCAATAAAACCTGGAAGCTGATTGGTTCCTATGCAGAGTTGCACCAGATTCTGCATGCTTCAGTTTTAGTAAAGCAACCCCTTAATGTGTTTAGGATTAATTTTTCCTGCATTTGTAGTAAATCAACCCCATTGCAACAAATGAAAACCGCAGAGACATGAATGAGTCCTAAGAGGTTTGACCCAACAAAACGTTTGATGTCCCCGTGATGGTCTGAGGCGCTACACATGAACAGAACTCCACGGGGCATTAGGCACCCTGCATGGCAGCAAACCATGGAGCAGATCTAAATGAGGACGTTCCAAAATACACCAATTCCTTCATTATGGGAACTGCCAAGCCCAATGTCCATCCCATATCTTAGCCCTGGTTCACATATGTGCGGGTGGTGCAGCTGTGGAGGAATGCGGATCTGCAGGAGGGTGCCATTAGTTCTAATGGCACACCGCCCGCACTGGAAATCACAACCGTACTGGTAACCGAGGTTCCTGTGTGAGCTGCATTTTCAGAAGAAGTGCAGGGACTTCTTTTGTGAGTGTCACTGAGCACGGGAGTCCATTCAAATGAATGAGCTCTTGTGTCCGTGCAAAACGCGGCCCACACAGCCGCATATATGTGAACCAAGGGTAAGTCTGAGTCCTCCCCCTCCACATTGTGTCTGGACCTACCTTGCTGGAAGTCGGTACGGCCACAGCCTCGGATGAGCAGAGCATCCCGGTAAAGGCCATGCTTTTATCATTCAGCACATAGGTAAGACAACCGTCAGTGTGGCCAGGGGTGGACCGAGCCTCCAGGAACTGCAGTGGGAAAAAACAATTCTTAAACCTGCACCCCAGGTAGACAAACATCACAAATAATGCAGATCTGTAGCCAATAAATACATTTTTTTTTAATGCAGGCACTGTATGTATCTGAATTTGACTCAACATCAGCCTAGTGTACAGCACATCCCAGAGAGAGGGAGGGAGAAGCAGCACATGGACTAATCATAGGAGGAGAGAGCAGAGTGACAGATGAGCTCATCAACGCGCTGCTTCTTGCACTGTCCCGTTACAGAGTGAGGGTGGGGTTTTAATTTTTGTGCTGAAAAAAAAAAAAATATTTTTCACTTTTTGACTGAAATGCGCAGTTTTTAAAAATGAATTTTTTTGGAAAAAAAAATACACTTTGAGTAAAAAAAACAAAAAAACAATATATATTCCAATTTTTTTGTAAAATATGAAAGAGGATATTATGGCGAGTAAGTAGATACCAAACATGTCACGCTTAAAAATTGCGCAAGATCGAGGAATGGCGTGAAACTACAGTACTTAAAAATCTCCATGGGTGATGCTTTAAAAATGTCTACAGGTTAGCAGCGTAATGTTACAGAGGAGGTCTAGTGTGAGAATTATTGCTCTTGCTCCGACGTTTGTGGCGATACCTTACGTGTGTGGTTTTTGAACAACATTTACATATGCGGGCATGGCCTACATATACGTTCACCACTACATGTGAGCACAGGGGCACTTTAAACTTTTTTTTTTTTTGTTTTACTCATTGAACCACTAGCATCTAACCTCAGAAATGACCCCAGTTTCTCAGGAATTAAATTTCTTAGGCACGAACACAAAATTAGCCTCTTTGCGGATGACATTATTCGAATGATTACAAACCCTTCTAAATCACTTACTTCAATACGCACCCACATACAAACCTACGCGGATGTCTCATACTATAAACTTAATGAACCCAAGTCTTCTTTTTAAACTTATATACTCCTGCTCCACTTCAAAACCGGCTTCTAAAACATTTCCCTTTTCAGTGGGAAACTCACAATATTCCCTACTTGGGGATTAAACTGACTGCCAAAACTAATCAACTCTATGCAGCTAATTTTAAACCGTTACTTGACATAATTCCACAGGAGCTTAGAAGCCTACGTACAGCTACCTTATCTATGTTAGGCAGAAATAGCGACTATCAAAATGTGCATACTGCCTAAAATTTTATATACCTTCCGCACGCTGCCTATTTCTATACCTTCCTCCTTTTTTTCCACACTTCAAAAAATTCTGAATAAATTAATTTGGAATTCCAAACGGCCTAGATGTACCACAAACCTCCTGATACACCCACCCTTCAGAGGGGGAGCCGGTCTCCCGCATTTGAAATCCTATTACCAAGCGGTCTTATTGGATCAGCTCTTCTACTGGTGGCACCCCACCCAAGACAAAACCTGGACTATCATGGAATCCTCTTTGTACTCAGCGGGATTATTAATAGATTTACTTTTTACCCCCCACATAGCTCAGATTGGTCCTCTACATTCATTATCCATGTATTTAGGCCTCTCTGACGGTTTGGCATGATTTTCTGACATACACACATTCACATAAGGCTAATCTACGAATCCCTATCCCCATATCATCACTGCACTTCTTGTCCCCCCATTTAAACTTAACTTCTTGGAAAGCGTGGCGGTATACATCATATTCAAGATCTCTACACTACTCAAAAACCAGATTCTTTTCAGACCCTCCCAAAGGAGATTCCATCTTCCTGATAAGGAGCAATTCACTTTTATGCGCGTAACCCACTTGCTCAATAAAATGAAAACATACCACTTGAAATAGACTTTCCTGCTACCGCACACCATTTCTTCCAGAAGACTATTTACCCGAAGAAGGGAATATCCACCTTCTATACATTACTAATTGAAGCACCAATTTACAACCCATACGTCGTCCCTGAATAACTGGGAGAGGATTTTTACTTCTCCCAACCACTCCACAATCCTGGCAAACAACGTTCGCCATCACATACAAAGCCTCAAGATGTAGTCCCACTGGGATTCATATTTGAAAATTCTCCATCAATGCTATCTAACCCCCGCGCCAAATTATCTCTGTACTATCCTCAACAGCCACAAAGCTGCTGAGACATTGCGGCGAAACTGGCTCGCTTCTTTTCATTTGCTATGGTCATGCAAATCCATCAAGTCGTATTGGAACAAAGTGTTTCAAATGATTTCTTCAATTATAGATACACCAATGACCCCAAATCCTTGTCTAGCCCTCCTACATATAAATGATAGAAAAATTCCCCAAAACGCTCACGCACTATTATTGTACACATTCTGGCAGCAGCTAAAATAAACATAACTAGACATGGGTCGAAATACGTCACCCCCCTTCATTGTCTCGTCTCGTTGCTGATATCAATCACAATGCGAGATGGAACGAAGAACGGCCCTCCGAAACTCCACCTATCATAAATTCATACTACACTGGTCTCGTTGGTTAAAACACCCTAATTGTTCACTCACCTGATTACTAGTCCCCTAAATCTAGCAGATACTGTATTCACAGCTCATTGGTGCCCTCTTCCCTCCCTCCCCCATTCTTCCTACCCCTTCTCTCAACCCCTACCTAGTTTCTTTTGTTTTAGCGTTCTACAACATGGTTCATGAACCACGAGCATACCTCTCATGTAAACGAGATTACACCTTAACAGGGTCCCCAGCCGGATGGTGGGATCTATCACTTCTTCTTTTATCATACGTTTTGTAAACTTGCCTTTGTGAACCTCTCACTTGTAATGTTTCTATACGCTGTTATTCTTGTTTTAAGACGATAAAAATTTCAATAAAAATTATTTGAAAATAAACTTTTTTTTTTACATTTACTTAAGTTTTTTTTTTTTTTTTTTGCACTGTCCCTTTAAAAATAGTTTTAATCACTTTGTTTATTTTTATCACAAGAAATGCATGCATCCCGCTTGATAAAAATCAAATAGTGACAGGTCCTCTTTATGGAGAGATATGGGGTCAATAGGACCCCACATCTCTCCTCTACAATGTTGAAGCATTGGATCAAAAACAAGCATTGATCTAGTGCTTTAAAAAAAAAAAAAAAAAAAAAAAGAAACCCAGAACCATAGAAGTGACATACTCTCTAATCCTCCAAGGGCATAGAGATGAAGTCGGGAAGCCATCTTCCTTCACTCATCAGGTAAGGCTGAGAACTACCGAGCGTCGGCTTGGCGGCGGCAGTGGCGGGCGGTGGCGGCAGGTTTTTCGGCACCTGTATTCGGTGCTTTTTTTTCATTTCGGTCCGGCCGAAGGGGGTGTTTTGGCTGAAACTTTCGGCACACCAACAATGTCGGTGCATCCCTAGGGCATCTGAGGGGTTAACTGTGTGCTGTTTTACTGTGGTGCTTTACACTGTAAGTACAGCTGCTTTGTATGGCCTGCTATGCAGAGCCATACCAAAGCAGTGTGCAAGTAGCTGACAGGGGAAAGAATTCTGTAATAGTTTTACATACAGGTCTCACCCCTGTCAGATGACTACATGGTGTATCTGTGCCGGGAGCCAGCATGCAATCACCTTTGGTGGTGACCGGGGGACCCTGTGGATCGGACAGTGCGAGTCCCGCCAATTGCTTGGTGCGAGGTAGGGCGTGCGAGCCTTCACCCGGGCAATTGCCGAAATCATGTATGTAATGTATGGTATGTATATATATGTTTGAAAAATGTGGCAGCGGGTAAGCGTGTTATGGGGAATACAGACCAATACACTGGTCTCTGACTTCCCCACCCCCAGCACTGAATGAGAATCAGCACGTTTATGAAGGTCTAGAAGCTCTTTTCCCTCCTGGGAAGCAAGCTCCCTGAGTTAGACCAGAACACACAGTAGCCTGGACTGCTTACAGTGTTGCCCCTCCTATTTCCAGCCTCAGTCCTGCACTGTAGGATAATGGTAACTGGTTGTATTTAAAATACATTTAAATTTTTGCATTGAAGCAGAAGTAGATTAAAGGCCCCATGCAACAAAACGTTGCTCCCCAGAGGAGTTTTAAAGCATTTTGCCTGTTGAAGACACTAATGTTATCCTATGTGTCCATGTACATTAGGTAGTCTAAGAGGTGTTTAGAGGCAGAAACAAAAAACTCTTCTGATTTTGTGTTTTTGAAAGCAGTTTTTATGACAGAAAAATAAAAAAAAATTGCTAAAAACAACTCCTATAGTATAAAAAATGCTCAAAATTATATATTTTTTTCTGCCAACTAGCACAGCAGTAAGTTTTTTAAACACTAGCAGTGGTGCGTGGAGCCTAAAAATGCCAAAACCTATTGGCTCTCTCCCCTGCCATTCAACCTGAATCAGCTTTGCAAGCTTTGATTGAATCCCTTTTATAAAGTCTGATACTCACAAAGTTCCCGTCACTTCAGGACATCTCCCTCCTGGATGTGGAGGTCAGCGACGGCCCCGCTGTCCTTGGCAATGACACTTTTACATCCAGGCAGCAGCTTCTTCAAGGCCCCGGTGCCGGTAACATGATCAGCATGGCAGTGAGTGTTGGCTGGAGGAACATCACGGAAAGACACTCGGATCATGCGAGTTGACACAATAACAAAAATGCATTTTGTTTTTACAGCTGAAACAACCAATCGACAAAATGATTATGAAAATATTTGTCAACTATTTTTCCTAATCGATTAGTTGGCCTGCATACAGAAATGCCATTATTTTGATTTACATGTCAGTATACACAGTGAAGCACACATAGCAGCTCAGTACAAAACCGTATCATTACATGTCAGTAAGTGTCTGAGAACTTGTTGAATATAATGTATGAGGAGCAATGCCTCATGGGACATGTAGTCCTGGGCAGGAGAAACGGAACGGATAAAGACAGATTTTTTTTACGCTTGATATAAAAGGGGCACTCTAAGCTTATGCAAAAAAGTCTCAACATTTTCGTAACTACTTTTGATATAAGCCCCGGTTCAAAAATCGCACCTTAAGGTGCATCAGTGCGATTTCTCGAAAAACTTCCTGCGCTACTTTTTTCTAATTTCATTGCGACTTTGCATTGATTCTCTGTTAAAACAAATATATATATAACGGTCACTGTTTTACAATATAAATTAACCCCTAAGCTTCATGTACATGAACCTACTCTGACCGCCGGCCACTGGGAAATGCAAATTGCGGCAAGACACGGTACCATGGTTGCAGCATTTTGCGTTTTTCCCGTGGTCAGAACATTCCTATTCTGAACGAGATTCTGTCGCATTCAGGAGAGGGAGGTTTAACCTCGCCTAAATGCAGCAGCGCTTAAACTGCTAAAAGCCTATGTGTATATGGACACACAGGGGTTGATTTAGTAAAGGCAAATAGACTGTGCACTCTACAAGTGCAGTGGATCCAGAGCTTAATAAATGAGGTAAGGTTCTACTTTGCAAAGAATGCCCAATCACGTGCAAGGAAAATTTAAAAAAAAAAACAAAAAAAAAAAAAAAAAAAAACTGCATTTTTGCTTGCACATGATTGGATGATGAAAGTCAGTAGAGCTTCTGCTCATTTACAAAGTCCTGGAGCAACTGCTCTTGCAAAGTGCACTGTCTATTTACCTTTAGTAAATCAACCCCATAGGCTTTTATGTAGTTGAGTTAACCTCCCTGGCGGTCTAACTAATCAATATTTTTGAATGTCAAAGCGGTACATTGTTTTGCATGGAAATTTGTTGTTTTATATTGTAGGCCTGTAAGTCTTAGGAATAACTCACCTAAATCTGTCTAGAGTCTAGTAAACATCCCGGGTGTGATAAACACACAAAATCATAAAAAAGAAAAAATAATTATAAAACATAATATAATAATAAATTTAATTCAATAACGTCAGTGCCTGATGACGAATTTCCCCACGAATCATTATCACTCACTTCTGCAAGTGGTTCTGATTTACTATCGCTGTTCTCTAGCTGGTCTAAAACCGCTTTTGACCTAAAGGGACGCTTTTTGGATGCCATGGACATTTCTCAGTTTCCAGGCAGAAAGAACAGTAAAAATGCAGGCAGGGCACAGGACAAAGCAGTAGGGACAAAATGTATGTGAAATGGTTTGATACAATGTATTGTGTGTATGTTATATTTTTACTTTTTTGACTTTCCCACTGGTTCCCCCCCCCCGTGTGTCCCGACACTCACAGGGAACGGAACCCGGAAGCCAGCACTGGCCGGAAGATACAGCGGGAGGACATCGCAAGACAAGGTAGGGATTGGAGGGGGGGGGGGAAGCAGGAGAAGCACTATGGAGTAATCCCGTGTGGCTCAGAGTTACCGCTTTTGGTACTGAAAATTAACCCCAAGCCACACTCGGGATCACCGCTAGGAAGGTTAGCATAATTACATAGTTAGTCTGGCTGAAAAAAGACAAAAGTCCATCCAGTTCAACCATTAAAAAAAAAAAAAAAAAAAAAAAAAAGTTGTAATCCTACACCCACAGTTGATCCAGAGGAAGGCAAAAAAAAAAACCCAGCAAAGCATGATCCAATTGGCTCCAGCAGGGAAAAAAAATTCCTTCCTGATCCCCCGAGAGGCAATTGGAAAGCTTTGGCAAAAAAATGCCAAAAGCTCCTAAACCCGAGTTTAGCAGCTCCTCGTGTACATGAAGCATTATAGTAGCGATTATCTGCTGTTTATATACTATAAGGCCTCATGCACACGGGGCATATTTGCAGCAACTTTTAGGGGCGTCTGGTACTTTTTTTTTTTTTTTTTTTACTGCTTCTAAATGGCCCTCCTTATCCTAGGTGTCCATGCACACAGAGTTTTAGAAGCTTTTAGTAGCAGTAGCGTTTACCAGCAGCAAAAAATCCCAGGTCCAATGTGTCCAGGAGCAACAGCGTTTTGGCAGAAAAACCACTTGACGCGGCTAAACACATTTAGCACTTGAGCGTTAATTCATTTAAATGGCCAGAATAAATGATCATTCTGGCCAATGAAATGAATCAAAAGTTCAAGTGCTTGACACTTGTAAATGCACCTAAACACTTGTAAAAGCGCTAGATACTTTTACAAGCGTCAGGCATATTTTCTGCAAAAATGCTGCTGCCAGGAGGGTGGCTTATAGGAGAGTTTGGGTGCTGCTTGCTCTGGGGGCACTTGCCAGGAGGAAGGGGCCAGGAGTCCTGGAGGGGGACCCAAGGAGGATAGGGGCTGATCTGGGCAAAACCACTGCACAGAGCAGGTAGGTAGAACATGTTTTTTTTTGGGGCGGGGGAATTCTGATCATGCCAAGTTATGCAGGCCATACATGGTTTGAATTTCGAACGATTTTTCATCCGAAAACCAGAAACGTCATTTGCTCGGTAATCGATTGGTGCCATCAATGATTTCAAAAATCGGCCGACCAAGTCATAAAGTTCACCCCATATAACAGGCGAAACTGTTCCTGTTCCTTCCAGGTCACGGCTCATGCGCATATTCTTTTCGGAAAAATGATCTTACGATTTGACCATCATTGAGTCGAAAATCGGTCGTTTTTTCACAAATTTTCTAACATGCCCGATCACCGAAAAGGGGAGGAACTATGAAAATCGGCTGGTGCCATTGACCCATTAATAGAGCGGAAATCGGCCGATTATTCTCAGGTTCGATTTTCGGATGAAAAATTGGTCGATTTTCGACCCATGTATGGCAGGCCTTAGTCTCTAGGTAGTTAGAGGCCTTGGTTCCTAATGCTTCCAAATTGGTGGGGAGAGCCCGAGGCCATTAAACTGCCATTGTGCTGGAGGAGCTGTGGAGTGAGGTGCTCTGCACTTACCTACCCGCGGTTATAGCCTCTACCGATAGGATGATGCAGACACTTTACTTGCTCCAGACTTATACGCCTTTGCGGCTGCTTCGTATGCACATAAGGGACTCTGCCCAATCTCACAAGTGCCAGTTATTCGAGGGCTCTTTTTTTTTTTTTTTTTTTTTTTTTTACACATGGTTCAGGAGATCCCAAAGGTCAGACCTCTCTGGTCTCAGGTGACCGAATTTATGGCTCACAATTTTGGCTTTCCAAACATATGTACTCCCCTTTTATGCCAGTTAACTGCCATTGATGAGGACATGAGTAATGCTACCAAATTGTTTATTAGAAGGCTTTTTTTTTTTTTTTCCATGTACAAAAGATGATTGCCAGGAGATGGGTATATAAGGAAATTCTTACTCTTGCGATTTGGAAAACAATTGGCGAATGTGATGACTTAAAGTGTTACTAAACCTACAATAGTAAGATCAGTCTGTATATGCAGACTTACTTTTGCTATTTCACTGTGGAACCTAAGGGGTTAATTCTCTGCATTGTGTAAAAAGACTGATTTATTCTGACTTCTCTGATCCTCCCCTTCTTCTACTGTCCCCAACCTCTCTGATCCTCCCTTCTTCTACTGTTCCCAATCCATCTGCTCATAGAACAGAGCCTTGAAGGCAAGCTGCACATGCTCAGTGTGGTGTGTATTGCTAGAAGGGGTTTTTTTTTTTTTCTTGGGAGAGTGCATGTGATCAACACAGGACCAATTAGTGCTGTCCAGACAGAGGGTCAGGGGTTATGCAGCCTCATAGGTCAATCAGGGGAGAATGAAAACTCCTTCTACTTCTTTAACCAGTGCTCCACTGGACACTGACAGAAGTGACAAGACTGCTCTAACTGCTGATGAGAAAAGATATTTAGCAGTTTAGATTTACTAAAATAATTGCATTTCCATGTTCTGTGTACTGTGGGAGACCAGATATAGTGAATGCATGGTCCAAGGAGACCAGATATAGTGAAGGCAGGGTCCGGGGAGACCAGATATAGTGAACGAGGGGTCCAGGAAGACCGAATATAGTGAACGAGGGGTCCAAGAAGACCGAATATAGTGAACGCAGAGTCCTGGGAGAGCCCGGATATAGTGAACGCAGGGTCCTGGGAGAGCCCGGATATAGTGAACGCAGGGTCCTGGGAGAGCCCGGATATAGTGAACGCAGGGTCCTGGGAGAGCCCGGATATAGTGAACGCAGGGTCCTGGGAGAGCCCGGATATAGTGAACGCAGGGTCCTGGGAGAGCCCGGATATAGTGAACGCAGGGTCCTGGGAGAGCCCGGATATAGTGAACGCAGGGTCCTGGGAGAGCCCGGATATAGTGAACGCAGGGTCCTGGGAGAGCCCGGATATAGTGAACGCAGGGTCCTGGGAGAGCCCGGATATAGTGAACGCGGGGGGTCCTGGGAGAGCCCGGATATAGTGAACGCGGGGTCCTGGGAGAGCCCGGATATAGTGAATAGTGAACGGGGGGTCCTGGGAGAGCCCGGATATAGTGAACGCGGGGTCCTGGGAGAGCCCGGATATAGTGAACGCGGGGTCCTGGGAGAGCCCGGATATAGTGAACGCGGGGTCCTGGGAGAGCCCGGATATAGTGAACGCGGGGTCCTGGGAGAGCCCGGATATAGTGAACGCGGGGTCCTGGGAGAGCCCGGATATAGTGAACGCGGGGTCCTGGGAGAGCCCGGATATAGTGAACGCGGGGTCCTGGGAGAGCCCGGATATAGTGAACGCGGGGTCCTGGGAGAGCCCGGATATAGTGAACGCGGGGTCCTGGGAGAGCCCGGATATAGTGAACGCGGGGTCCTGGGAGAGCCCCTGGATATAGTGAACGCGGGGTCCGGGGAGAGCGGATATAGTGAACGCGGGGTCCGGGGAGAGCGGATATAGTGAACGCGGGGTCCGGGGAGAGCGGGGATATAGTGAACGCGGGGTCCGGGGAGAGCGGATATAGTGAATGCGGGGTCCGGGGAGAGCGGATATAGTGAATGCGGGGTCCGGGGAGAGCGGATATAGTGAATGCGGGGAGAGCGGATATAGTGGGGGGTCCGGGGAGAGCGGATATAGTGAATGCGGGGTCCGGGGAGAGCGGATATAGTGAATGCGGGGTCCGGGGAGACCGGATATAGTGAATGCGGGGTCCGGGGAGACCAGATATAGTGAATGCGGGGTCCGGGGAGACCAGATATAGTGAATGCGGGGTCCGGGGAGACCAGATATAGTGAATGCGGGGTCCGGGGAGACCAGATATAGTGAATGCGGGGTCCGGGGAGACCAGATATAGTGAATGCAGGGTCCGGGGAGAGCGGATCTAGTGAATGCCTGGGTTTAGTAACACTAACACACTCCAGTGGTCCTTTGAGTTTGAAACGCTTCATTTTTTTGTTTATTTTTCTTTAGTTTCTTGTGTTTCTCTTAAAAATGGTTAAACCCTTTGCTAGGCAAGACTGGCGTACTGGTCTATTGTTTGCTAGATCAGCTCATCAGGCTCTATTCTTTATGGTGGCAATTATTATGCCTGTATGCTTTGATGCATTTCTTTGCTGGCTGTTATACTTGTTCATGCATGGATACTGTCTGTAATGACTTATGTACTGTCTGGCAATAAAAAGTGCTTTAAAAAAAAAAAAAAAAAAAAAAAAAAAAAAAAAAAAAGGAAACACAAACTGTAGTTTTCCTTCAAGCAGTTCTGAAATAACCATCAGGGATAAGCGGAATAAGCCCAGTTCAGAAGCGGTCACATGATCACATTCCTGGAGGTCCAGTCAGCAACACCCAGGGCATCCCCTGCCCCACAGTCACACTACACACAGGGACAGCAATGCCTGTGATGTCATTGACCATTAAAAGGTCAATGATGTCATAAGTACCATCATAAGATGTCATTTAGCCCACGGGTTCCGCCAAACTGGGTTCAAATCAAGCCCAGCTCATCCTTAATGACCAGTGATATGGCTGACTTGTATAAACTGATGGAAAGTTAGGTCTTGGTTGCTAAAAAATGGCCAATCACATTTCAACTGTTAGAAATAATGATAGCTGCCACCGGATTGGTTGATGTGGGCAGTAGGCGGTTTCTACCAGTGCCGTAACAACCATAGCTGCTGCTATGGGGCCGGGAATAGGAAGGGGGTCTCATTATGCAGACTGTTAGCTGTGATGTTCTCAATATGGAAGGCATGAAGTCAGACCTCAGGATTGTAGTTACAGATCCCCCTCTGTGCACTGAGAAGCATTTGCTGATCTGTCTTAGCAGTGTATATTTACCGCCCTTTGAGTTTACTAAAGTGGTTGTAAACCTCAGATGTGAAATATGAAAAAAGTATATCCCTCTATACTGTGTACTTGTCTCTATCCAGAGAACTAAGTTTCATTTCTGTCTGCCACCTTGTTATTCTGCTATCAACAAGAATAACTTCTGACAAGTTTTCCTGACACCAAGAGAAAAATGGTGACAAGGGAGGGAGCTGCAGCAGAGTGACAGCCTCAGTTCTGTTCCTGTGAGCTGTGTGAAGGGGGGGGGGGGGGGGCGGTATATACCTTCCCTCCAACCAGCTCTCAGAGCTCTCCTCACTGAGCTCTGCAGTGTGTAATTTCAGCTCTTCGCCCACTTCTTTCTGACACCTCCGACAAGCTTTATAAATTCTGCACTGTGAATGGCTGTAGACAAGAGAAGACTGCAAATTAGCAGGTACAACGTATGTAAGAGGGTTTGTTTAATCTCTATGTAAATTAATCCTGTATGCCTACAAAGAGATTTAGCTGTCCCCAATCCCCATCGAAATTTTGGTATTGGGTCCCATGATTCATAGCTACGCCGCCCCTGGTTTCTTCCCACAATTTTCCCAAAAAACACCCTAAATTGCTTTGTATTTTAGTTTACAGGGCGGTATCCCGTATGCAGTACTCAAATCCTGACCGATCCAGTTTATCACCTTCTTCAAACACTCTACTTTTATAAGTAAGTACAACGCCAAAGCAAAGTCCACTTATTGCAGAGTTTATTGTGTTCAATGGAGGAACAAAGACTTGCATCCAGGGCGTTGGACGTCATATGACAGACATGTAAAATATTTTATACATACCGGTTTATGCGGTTATAGTGAACAATAAACTCTACAACACAGCATCTAGTCACGTACTGCACATAAAAACCGAAGCATGGAGGATTCTGGGATTTCTGCTATATGAGGGGTAATAGTGGCCGGCAACATCCTGACCTGGTTTAAAGGAGAAATTCACCTTTGAAACATATTACACGTTCCACCCAATTTAGGGTACAATATGTAATATGTTCAAGCATCCGCACCTTCTCCCTTCCCATCAATCCTCCCTATAACAGTGGGCACGGGATCTTCTCCCCACACCCGCTGTCACAATATGAAAAACAGTGCAGCCATGCTGTGCTCCGCTCACACGGCCATGTCATTCATTTCTAGAAATGAATGTTACATAGTTAGTCCTGCTGAAAAAAGACAAAAGTCCATCCAGTTCAACCATAGTTTTTTTTTTTATGTAACTGTAGTTTATTCAGTAACATCTTGAACAGAATGTGTATAAGTACTCTCAGCCATTGCGGTCTTTGAGTCTGCAGGAGCCTGCCATTGCACCTGCAATCTGCTGATCGCAGGTGCAATCCTCTGCAGCCTCCTTAAATAAAAAATCTTAGATAATAAGAGAACAATTTAAAAAAAATTATAAATGCACATATTTTTAACTGCAAAAAATGTGCATTTTTTTTTTTTCTCAAAAAGGTGGACTTAGCCTTTAGTTGCTAAACCCCCCCAAAAAAGAGAAACAAAATATAGAAAAAAAATTAAAGTAACCCCGTCCCCCTTTCCCAAATTAGAACTACAAAACTTTTATGAAAAAATTTAAAATAGCTTTATTAAAAAACTACATGACAATATGCAAATGTTCAACGACCCACGAATATAAACCACTGAATAAAAAAAGTTATAAGAGGGTATATTAATACAACAGTCCCTATATAAATGTCATCCACCAGATCCCTGGATGATACTCACCTGGGACAGTAAGTCATACACATAATATGTGTATTAGAATTCATTCACCAAACAAAAAAAATAATAATAATAAAAAAAATATATATAGTAGTGTAGTGAATGCAGGGTGCAGGGAGAACCAGATATAGTGAATGCAGGGTCCGGGGAGACCGGATATAGTGAATGCAGGGTCCGGGGAGACCGGATATAGTGAATGCAGGGTCCGGGGAGACCGGATATAGTGAATGCAGGGTCCGGAGAGACCAGATATAGTGAATGCAGGGTCCGGAGAGACCAGATATAGTGAATGCAGGGTCCGGAGAGACCAGATATAGTGAATGCAGGGTCCAGGGAGACCAGATATAGTGAATGCAGGGTCCGGGGAGACCAGATATAGTGAATGCAGGGTCCTGGGAGACCAGATATAGTGAATGCAGGGTCCGGGGAGAGCGGATATAGTGAATGCACGGTCCTGGGAGACCGGATATAGTGAATGCGGGGTCCGGGGAGACCGGATATAGTGAATGCAGGGTCCGGGGAGACCGGATATAGTGAATGCGGGGTCCGGGGAGACCGGATATAGTGAATGCGGGGTCCGGGGAGACCGGATATAGTGAATGCACGGTCCTGGGAGACCGGATATAGTGAATGCGGGGTCCGGGGAGACCGGATATAGTGAATGCGGGGTCCGGGGAGACCGGATATAGTGAATGCGGGGTCTGGGGAGAGCGGATATAGTGAATGCAGGGTCAGGGGTGTAGTAAACACTTTAAAGGAAATCTGTTCTAAAGAATTGCGGGGGCTGCCACTGCTGACCTGCATTTCTAAAAACTAGTTCCAGCTCTCTGGATTCAGAACGGTGTCACTGATCTGTCATCTCCTTCTGAAGGCTCTTTCCCGAGAAGAACCAGCCATTACAGCGCCCCCTGGAGGGTGCACCCTAGAGCAAGCCGTACCTGCATAAACCATCTTCAGGCCAAGATCCTTGATGAGTTTGGAGTCCCGGTTTGCAGTTTCCAGCACGGGATCGATCAGAACAGCCTCCTTACTGGCCTCATCGGCAAGAAGATATGTATACGTACAGCTGACAGGCTCAAAGAGCTGCAACGGGGGAAAAAAAAAAACAAGACAATTAGCCAATACCTAGACAAAACCAGGGGGGGGGGGGGGGGTTCACCATAACAACTAATCAGAACTGTAGATGCTTCTTCCATTCAAGAACAAAACCATGCTCAGTATTTCCTCCAGTTAGCTATGTAGCATTCAGCCCTGAATCAAGGTAAAAAAAAAGTCCAAGTAGTTGTACCACGCCCCCACCCCCAACCCTGCCCCCCCACCTCCCTTACTCTCTGGATCCAGCACTGTGCTCCTCTGCAACAGCGCTGGTCTGTGTTCCTCTCCTCACAGGGCATTGAGGCAGCAGTGGGGGCCATTGGCTCCTGCAGCTGCCAATCAAATCCTGTGAGGAGGGAGCATGGGTCGGGCCTGAGGTGTGTGTCTACAGATGCACACAGCCCGGATTGGGATTGATGCAACACATATGTCCTCATAGCTTCTTATGTGGGGACCCCAGACGAAGAGGCTGAGAACCGCTCTCTGCAATACGATTGCCCAGAGCAGATCAATATACCATGTTTATTATTCTAGGGGAAAAAAATAAGCCTTTGCAATTGCTTTAAAAAATATTTAAAGCTGACATTTCAAATTCCTGATATGTGCCTGCTGTACAATATACTTGTATGAAGAAGTATCCGGTTCTCTTTGTATTTCTTCCTTTGTGTGAAATATGTGGTGTTCCTGCCAGTCCCTCTGCTTTATTATTAAAATCTGACCACACTAGACATGAGAGCACAGTGTGGTCAGATTTCTAGCTGTGCTGAGAACTCTGCCTGCTCTCCCCATAATGATCAGACTTGTCCGACATCCCCCCCCCCCAGCCATTCAATGGGAAGATTAGTGCTCTGCTGTTTCTCCTCCCCCAGCTCTATGTGCTGCTGAGAACAGAAGGAATGTGATAAAAAAAAAAAAAAAGGGGAGGGGGAAGGTATTTATATATATATATATATACCGACACATACACAAATGTTTTGCCTATCATTTCTATATTAAAACTGAATGGGTTGTTTTACTAGGTGAGAGTTTATAATCACTTTAAGCTTCTGCTATGTTCTCACAGCAGAGAAACAAGTTATTGGCTAGGAAATCTCCCAGTATCAGCGCTTATGAAGTACATGTCACTGGCCGATGGTCAAGGGCAAATAGACGGCACAACTGAAATAATCCATGGAGAAATTCTATAATACGTGGGCCCCTGACATGTTTCCGCCCAATTTTGACTCCCCCTCCCAACTTGGAACTATGCATGATCCCTACCTGGCCGATCTTTCTAGATCAGGGGTGTCAAACTGGCGGCCCTCCAGCTGTTGCAAAACTACAAGTCCCATCATGCCTCTGCCTTTAGGAGTCATGCTCGTAACTGTCAATCTTGCAATGCCTCATGGGACTTGTAGTTTGGCAACAGCTGGAGGGCCGCCAGTTTTACACCCGTGATCTAGAAGCTGGAAATCACTGTAAAAGGCATCACTACTCCAGTGATCTCCACTAGTTTTTGGGTCCTGTGCCAAGTGGCTGTGCTACTGAATTTACTGAACACGGACGGTCGCTCGCTCAGCACTGGCACCATTCAATGAACTCTGTGCATCTTCCCAATGAATGCAAAGCGTTCTCTGATTGGATGACGTGGAAAGACAGGGTGGTGACATCTTGATCTCCACCTCGTCCAACCAGAGAGAGCTCTGCATTCATTGAGGAAAGACAAAGTGTACCCTGAATGGCGCCAGAGCTGAGCAAGTGACCTTCTGTGTACAGTAAAGCCGCAACGCAGCCGCTCGGCATGGGATGCAAAAGCCGGCGGCAATCAGTAGTAGTGGTGCAAACTGCAGTGATTTCCAGCTTCCAGAGGGATCCAGCTATGGTATACCCCAGGGATTTTTTTCAGTGGGAACGCAATTCCGGCACCTCCAGCACTGAATGCATCTAATGGCAAAGGGTGCTGGAGGATCTGTTGATGCTGGCTGCTGGGGGTCTAGTGTCAGCAGAGGGATCTATTTTTTTTTTTGGGGGGGGGGCTAAATTTATTGGGGAGGCCTATTGTTGCTGGTGGGGTATCTGGTGTTTCTGGGGGGGGGGTCAACTGCTGCTGGGAGGGATCTATTGACGATTGCTGCTGGGGTCTAATGTTGCTGGTGGGGGTGGGGTGTGTCAAGTGTTGCTGGGAGGGATCTATTGAGGCTCGTTGATGGAGGATTTGTTGCTGCTGCCATAGTTCTACTGCTGCTGGGGGGGGGGGGGGGTATTTTGTTACAGGTGGGGCATTGTTGCTGGGGGGGTCCACTGTTGCTGGAGATCTGCTGTTGCGGGGGGGTGGGGGGGGGTTGCTGGTAGAGTCTATTTGACTGCTTTCCTTGTTATCAGTAACAAATTCCATCACTCTGTATATTCTGTGAAAGGGATGGTACTTGGAGGTAGGTAGGGGGCGGAACCCAGAAACGGTGCTCGAAGGTGGGTAGGGAGGCAGAGACGAGGGGTGACTTGGAGAGCGGGAGTCCCTGCACCTATTATCTGCGAAAAGAAAAAGCCCTGGGTATATAAATAGTTACATTGGTCATACTGTCACAATGTAACTATGCAAACATTACCATACCTGGAATTCAGATTTCAGCCGTAGTAAACCGCAAAAAAAAAAAAAAAATCCAAGGTCCCCAATTTGTTCATACATGCACATACTAGGGCCAATTTAGACAGGAGCCAATTACCCTACCAGCATGTCTTTGAAGTGTGGGAAGAAACCGGAGTACCTGGAGGAACCCACACAGGCACAGGGAGAACATGCAAACTCTAGGCAAGTGGTGCCATGGCTGGGATTCAAACCAACGACCCTAGTACTGCCAGGCGGAAGTGCTGACCATTTAGCCATTATGCTGCATACTGTCCTTAGATGTGTCAACCGCCTTAGTTTTCAAGCTAAGAACATTTTCAGCAAATACAGAAAATACTTGTTGATCCTGCCAGAAATACGGTGCCCTTATCACTTTCTGTGTGCTGTGAAGAATATCTTCCTTCCTAGATATCTTCTGAAAACTGCATCTCCAGAGGGACAGGGCAATTGGTAAACATGTCTGCAGTCCATATCAGTAGGGATGACAACCTGGATGACAACCATGGATCCCTCTACAGATACAATTGAGGAGTGACGTTGCCACCCAGGGACAGGAAGTGTGTTATTTTCAGGATTACCAGGTGAAAATATAGTAAAACAAATGCAGCCACCACGGCTATTATGCTGTAATAACTGGACTGTGGTTTTGGTTTTAGAAGCACTTTAATCAAGTGCCGGTCAACAACAGAAGAAATGGATGTAAGATGCTCTGTGTTCAATAGGAGGTTCATTTTTAAAGAAGATGCTGGACAGCACAGCGCTGACAACAAAAAGCCTTGACATGTCTGACACTAAATGTGCTTACTCAGACACACAGGACAGCAAAGTGGCATAGTGGTCAGCACTTCTGCCTTGCAGCAGTGAGGTCCTTAGTTCAAGTCCAAGTCAGGACATCATCTGCATGGAGTTTGCAAGGTCTCCTTGTGTTTGTGAGGCATTCCTCCAAAGACAGGCTGCTACGTTAATTGGCCCCAGTATGATATTCTAAAAGAAGGTGACATCAACAGCAGATAAAGGGAGCAAAGTTACCTGGATACATTGTTACTGGGTGAGCTCTGGGAAGCAAGAGTTGTCTTTGCTGCATTGGATGAGGAAATCTGATCCTTCTTGCGGAAGCAGCTTATAAAGCTTAAACTTAAAGCATACTTCAAATTTTGCAATTACATTTGACGTGGGGAAGAGCAGGGGAAGAGTGAAAAAAACAGGGGGAAAGTGATGAAGGCGGGGGGGGAGGGGCAGTGAGGTCAGGGGAAGAGTGATGAAGGTGAGGGAAGAGCTCGGGAAAAGTGATGAGGGCAGAGGAAGAGCAGCGGGGGGAGGGGAAGAGTGATGAAAGGCAGGAGAAGAGCGGTGAGGGCAGGGGAAGAGTAATGAAGGCGGGGGGGTGGGGTGCAGAGCAGTGAGGGCAGGAGAAGTGATGAAGGCAGAGGAAGAGCAGTGAGGGCATGGGAAGAACAGGTGGAAGAGGGATGAAGGCAGGGGGGAACAGGGGGAGAGTGATGAAAGCAGGAGAAGAGTGGTGAGGGCAGGGGAAGAATAATGAAGGCGGGGCAGAGCTGTGAGGGCAGGGGGAAGAGTGATGAAGATGGGGAAAGAGCAGTGAGGTCAGGGGAAGAACAGGGGAAGAGTAATGAAGGCGGGGCAGAGCAGTGAGGGCAGGGGGAAGAGTGATGAAGATGGGGAAAGAGCAGTGAGGTCAGGGGAAGAGTAATGAAGGCGGGGCAGAGCAGTGAGGGCAGGGGAAGAGTGATGAAGATGGGGGGGGTGTCGAAGAACAGGGGGAGAGTGATGAAAGCAGGAGAAGAGCGGTGAGGGCAGGGGAAGAACAAGGGAAGAGTAATGAAGGCGGAGAAAAGCAGTGAGGGCAGGGGAAGAGTGATGAAGACGGGGGAAGAGCAGTGAGGTCAGGGGAAGAACAGGGGAAGAGTATTGAAGGTAGGGCAGAGCAGTGAGGGCAGGGGAAGAGTGATGAAGATGGGGAAGAGCAGTGAGGTCAGAACAGGGGAAGAGCAATGAAGGCAGGGCAGAGCAGTGAGGGCAGGGGAAGAGTGATGAAGACGGGGGAAGAGCAGTGAGGTCAGGGGAAGAACAGGGGAAAAGCTGTGAGGGCAAGGGAAGAACAGAGGAAGAGTAATGAAGGCAGGCAAGGAGCACTGAGGGCAGGGGGAGAGTAATGAAGATAGGGGAAGAGTGGCGGGGACATGGGAAGAACAGTGGAAGAGCGGCGAAGGCAGTGGAAAAGCAGGGAAGAAGCAGTAAGGGCAGGGCAAGAGCGGTGGGGGGGCAGGGCAAGGACGGTTGGGGGGGGCAGGGCAAGAGCGGTGGAAGAGTGATAAAGGCAGGGGAAGAACAACAGGGGAAGAGTAATGAAAGCAGGAGAAGAGCGGTGAGGGCAGGAGAAGAGTAATGAATGCAGAAGAAGAGCAGTGAGGGCAGGGGAAGAATAATGAAGACGGGGCAGAGCAGTGAGGGCAGGAGAAGAGTAACGAAGGCAGGAGAAGAGTGGTGGGGACAGGGGAAGGCAGAAGAAGAGCGGTGGGGACAGGGGAAGAACAGGGGAAGAGCGATGAGGGCAGTGGAAAACCAGGGCAAGAGCAGTGAGGGGCAGCAGAAGAGTGATGAAGGCAGGGGAAGAACGGTGGGGGCAGGGGAAGAGTGATGGGGGCAGCAGAAGAGTGATGAAGGCAGGGGAAGAGCGGTGGGGACAGGGGAAGAGCGGTGAAGGCATAGTTTGTTACGGAAGCGAGTTGTTTATATTGATAGAAATCTTTCCCTGCATTATTATACAATACTTACTGTTGCAAAACAGCCCCAACAGTCCAAGTGTACATTGTTTCTACTTTTCAGCAACATTGTAAGGTCCAAGGAGCAGGACCCTCCTATCCCTCTGGTATTGAACTGTATTGTTGCTGTATTGTCTCCCGTTATAATGTAAAGTGCTGAGCAAACTGTTGTCGCTATATAAATCCTGTATAATAATAATAACCTATCAAATTGTAAATGTTAGGAGCTCCAGAGGAAGTGTCGGAGTGTCACATTTGTCCTCCAGTCATTTGGTGAGCATTGCCTGTTGCACAATACATAACCCCACATCCTACAGTCCAGGTTTCCCTCCCTGTGACTTTGCACATAGACCAGCTCAATGATTCTGAACTCTCTGTAGAATGAAAGGAATCTTCCTGTCAACAGCTACACCCCTCCCAACCGTGACTTTCCACAGCGTCCCGCAACACTTCCCTCACTTGCACCATAACCACCTCCACAGCTCAGACCGGCCCCTCCACTCACAATAGTGGTGTCTCTGCAGGAACACAGGAGATGGGTCATGAAAAGGGCGGATTTATGAAAAGAAGAGGAAAAATTAAAGGTTTTAGCTTTTGAAAAGTATTCAGCGCGTTAAAGCTCGCTCACAGCTGCAGCAGCCAGGAGCTTGATATTGATTATTAGGTTGCATTCACAAACTCGTGCTTTTTTCCGCATCTTTCCCACAACATACTGTACGTAGGGCCCCCAACTGATTCCAATGGGCTGTCCTATGAGCGGCAGTGTAGCTCATGGATCTTTTTGCCTCTTTCTGGTTTGCGTGTTTTACGTTTGTTGTGTGTTTTTGAACGCAGCAAAACGCGCATCTGGAGTGCCAGTAAAAATTAATAGCACCGCAAGCGTGACGTGCGGTTTTTGCGCTTTCCAGAAAAACACGAGCCTACGGATGTTTGTGCATCTACTTTTTTTAACGTAATTTCAGGCACTTGTTTTGCACGTATTTATGTACATATTTGCGTACATACGCATTCGCGCTCCTGTGCGCGCAATATATTCTTAGGGAAAAATGATTAATGGTTATGATGAACGTATTTGTGTGCGCAGGCGGTGTAAACCACAGACCAAAAACGCAGATTTCCCTTTTTTTTTTTACTGAGAAATATGTGGCGCTTCTTTACGCGCCTGTGTGCAAAGGCACATTGTATCTAATAGGCTACATTTTACCTTAGTAAAAAAAAGAAAAAAAAAAAAAAGCTTAACTGAGCTTTTTCAAGCCGCAGTGTGCAAGAGGCCTCAAAGGCAGCGAAAGGGCTTTCTAGAACCGGCCAATCCCTTTTACAGGGCCCTGATGGCGCCAACCTCACCCCTGCTGTCCGCGGTACTTCCTGGGCTCCCCTGTTCCTCCAGGAAAACCACAACTAAGATTAACTATTCTAAAGCAGGCCATACATTATACAATTTTCTTTCCTGAAATCACGGGTTTTAGGAAGAAAATTACTCGATTCCCCCATCATCACGGTCAGTGTTAGTGGGGGAATCTCTCCTGCAGCGCTATTGTGTTCTGCCAGCAGGGAGCCTTCCGTGCCAGCAGAAACACAATGATCACTGCTGGTAGCCATTGCAACGGTCAGTGGTTAAAAGGGAAAAAAAATGGCTAGTTGGTTGTAGTGAAGTTGATCGATGGAATCAACTTCAGCACAAGCAGCCTGCCCATAGCTGGATCAAATCTCAGCCAGTTCCTGCAGAAGTGGCTGAGATTCGATCCATCTATGGCCGCTTAAAGGAGAAGTACAGCCAAAGCAAGTTTGGCTGTACTTCTGTGGATCACTGGAGTGCAATTCGTTCATCACTCCTGTGACCCGTTTTTAAACGACAGTGGGCTGCTGTCGGCTGACGACACTAAGACAGTCCAAGCTGGGGAAAGTTCCGACAACATAGTCGGGATCCACTCAGGAGCCTGGACCGACACCTGTCTCAGACTCACAGTAGCTCACTCCCTCCCCCTACACAGCCCTGCGTCCCAGGAAGCACTGCGATGGGGGGGGGGGTGCAGAGAGCGGTGACTGTCAGTCACAACTCTCTGCTCAGATTTGCTGGGAAACGAGCAATCAGCGGTGTCTGATCACTCAGTTCTCACCCTAGGTTCACACCTAAGCTTTTTCCGCAGCGTTTTGCAGAAACACAGTACAGTCCATTTAACATGATTTCCTATGGGACATATTCACATCTCCGCATTTTCACCCGGTGCATTTTTTGGAATGGGTCAGGGACTTTTTTTAACGCAAAAAGTTGTGGTTTTGGTTCTATAGACTTCAATGGAAATGCTGCAGAAAGCATTTGTTGCGTTTGAGCCGTTTCTGAATTGCGTTTTGTTTCTGATGCGTTTGGAAAAAAAAAAAAAAACAATAAATTTGTTGTTGCTAGTTGCAAATTGAAAATGCAAAACGCATCAAAAATGCACTACATGCTTTTCTGCAATGTTTCCATAAAACCAAAAACGCAACTTTTTGCGCTCATAAAAGTCCTTGACCCTTTCCAAAAACAGCACCGGATGAAAACGCAGAGATGTGAATGTGTCCCATAGGAAATCATGTTAAATGGACTGTACTGCGTTTCTGCAAAACACTTAGGTGTGAACCTGGGTGCTGCATCCATCTAGGGAAGTATGATTTAAACAAAACATTTCCATACTTCTCTTTTAACACAGACTGCAAGAGGAACTCGGGTAATACGTCTGACCCCCCCCCCCCCCCCCCTTCACCCACAAATGGCATTACCCAGCGGAGGATGCAGCTAATCAAGCAGGCGCTGTGCTTGATTAGCTGCAACGGAGCGCAATGGAGACATCAGGGGTCTAATAGACCCCTGATGTCTCTATAAAGGAGGACCTGTCACCTGCCCATACTATCACATGGGGGGGTGTTAGCCACCTGGTGAGAAAAATAAACCTAAATAAAAATAGGCAGCACAGTGGCTTAGTGGTTAGCATTTCCGCCTGGCAGTACTAGGTGTGTTAGTTTGAATCCCAACCACGGCACCACCTGCCTGGAGTTTGCATGTTCTCCCTGTGCCTGCATGGGTTTCCTCCCGGTACTCTGGTTTCCTCCGGGTACTCCGGTTTCCTCCCACACTCCAAAGACATGCTGGTAGGTTAATTGGCTCCTGTCTAAATTGTCCCTAGTATGTGTATGTATTACTGTGAGTTAGGGACCTTAGATTGTATGCCCCTTGGGGGTTAGGGACTGATGTGAATGTACAATATATATATATATATATAAAAAAGTGCTGCGTAAATTGACGGCTCTATATAAGTACCTGAAATAAATAATAATAAAAAAAATAATAATAATAGTTTTAAAAAAGTAACCTCCCCCATATCCACGTGCAAACACACAACATACAGTGCACATGTGCAGGCCAGTGCTGGCTCTATGTTTTTTATTGCAAAGCTGACTACGATGAGTGGTGACAGTGCAGCCCATACAGTGCTTATTTCAGGATCTTCATGAAGGAAGTATTAGTGGCAGCACTTCCTTTGCTTGGTCCTTAAAGGGTAAACCCCTCCTCCTCCCCCCTCTCTCTCCCATGAGTCCCTCTGTTCCACGGTCAGCACTCACCTGCCTGAAGATTAGTCCTTTCCCCGCTGCTGCCATGGCACAATACCTCCGCACTCCTCCAATCAAAAGCTTGTTAATGCCGCCGACACTCTGCATATCCCTGGTGTCAACACCGAGTCCTCAGAGAATGCCCGACCTCTATATTGTCTGCCAGTTTATCTCCCACACCCCCGGGGAAACACGCCCATCACCGATCCGCACCAATCACAGGCCTACACGGCCGGGGGCGTGATCTAGTTTAACAGCGACGGCACAGGGCGGGGGTTGGTCTAATGACAGGGCGGGGGCGTGGCCGGGTGTCAACATTTTATGGAGCCGGGGGGCGTGTTTGGTCCCATCATAAGCGCACAGGAATGATTCTAATAGCGAGCGTTCAGGTCCGGGGGCGTGGCCTAGTATAGTAACAAGCGCAAAGGGCTGGGAGATGTCATCTTATTCAAATGACAAGCTGTAGTACCGGGGGGCGTGGTTTGGCCGTATGACAAGCATACAGGGCCGGGGGCGTGGTTTGATTTCACCACAAGCGTACAGGACCGGGGGCGTGGTTCGAGCACAAGACAAGCCTATAGAGGCGTGGTCAGGTCTCAGCACGAGTGTACAGAACCGTGGGCGTGGTCTGGCGCTCTACGTGCTGAACCACATATCACTCTCCGGGGAGGGGTGTGTGTGGGTGTTTGTAGGGGGGTGGGGGGTGTCATCGTGGAGGGGACTGAGCGCCTCTTGCTGAACTACAAATCCCAGCATTCCCATCTTAATGATAAAACTGCATGGTGCTTTATACATTATCTGTATAATGTCCTCTGTGTGATGTATGTATAATGTATGTGTGTATGATGTATGTATGACGTATGTGTGTATGACGTATGTAATGTATGTGTCTATGATGTGTATATATAATGTATGTGTGTATGATGTGTATATATAATGTATGTGTGTGATGACATATATAATGTATGTGTGTATGATGTATATATAATGTATGTGTGTTATGATGTATATAATGTATGTGTGTATGATGTATGTATGACGTATGTGTGTATGATGTATATAATGTATGTGTGTATGATGTATGTATGACGTATGTAATGTATGTGTGTATGATGTGTATATATAATGTATGTGTGTATGATGTATATAATGTATGTATGTGTATGATGTATGTATGACGTATGTAATGTATGTGTGTATGATGTGTATATATAATGTATGTGTGTATGACATATATATAATGTATGTGTGTATGACATATATAATGTATGTGTGTATGATGTATATAATGTATGTGTGTATGACGTATATATAATGTATGTGTGTATGATGTATGTATGACGTATATATAATGTATGTGTATATGATGTGTATATATAATGTATGTGTGTATGACATATATAATGTATGTGTGTATGACATATATAATGTATGTGTGTATGATGTATATATATAATGTATGTGTGTATGATGTGTATATATAATGTATGACGTATATATATAAGTATGTGTGTATGATGTATATAATGTATGTGTGTATGACGTATATATAATGTATGTGTGTATGATGTATGTATGACGTATGTGTGTATGATGTATATAATGTATGTGTGTATGACGTATATATAATGTATGTGTGTATGATGTATATAATGTATGTGTGTATGATGTGTATATATAATGTATGTGTGTATGACGTATATAATGTATGTGTGTATGACGTATATATAATGTATGTGTGTATGATGTATGTATGACGTATATATAATGTATGTGTGTATGATGTGTATATATAATGTATGTGTGTATGATATATATAATGTATGTTTGTATGACGTATAAAGTGAAGGAAATAAGTATTTGATCCCCTGCTGATTGTGAATGTCCCCACTCACAAAGAAATAATCAGTCTAAAAATCGAATGGTAGGTGTATTGTAACACGGAGAGACAGAATAGCAACAACAATTCAAAAGAAATGCATGTCTTACAAATGATGACTGATTTGCATGTTCATGAGGGAAATAAGTATTTGATCCCCTATCATTCAGCAGGATTTCTGGCTACCAGGTGTCTTTCATACAGGTAACAAGCTGAGATTAGAAGCAATCTCTTAAAGGGAGTGCTGCTAATCTCATTTTGTTACCTGTATAAAAGACACCTGTCCACAGGAGTAATCAAACAGATTCCAAACTCTCCACCATGGCAAAGACCAAAAAGCTGTCCAAGGATGTCAGGGACAAGATTGTAGACCTACATAAGGCTGGACTGGGCTACCAAACTATCGCCAAGCAGCTTGGTGAGAAGGTGACAACAGTTGGTGCAATCATTCACAAATGGAAGAAACACAAAACAACTGTCAGTCTCCCTAGGTCTGGTGCACCATGCAAGATCTCACCTCGTGGCATGTCAATGATCATGAGAACAGTGAGGAATCATCCCAGAACTACATGTGAGGATCTTGTCAATGATCTCCAGGCAGCTGGGACCACAGTCACCAAGAAAACAATTGGTAACAAACTACGCCGACAAGGATTGAAATCCTGCAGTGCCCGCAAGGACCCTCTGCTCAAGAAAGCACATGTCCAGGCCCGTCTGAGGTTTGCCACTGAACATTTGAATGATGCAGAGGAGGACTGGTTGAAAGTGTTGTGGTCAGAGGAGACCAAAATCGAGCTCTTTGGCATCAACTCAACTCGCCGTGTTTGGAGGTGGAGGAATGCTGCCTATGACCCCAACAACACCATCCCAACTGTCAAACATGGTGGTGGAAATATTCTGCTTTGGGGGTGTTTTTTTCTGCTAAGGGGACAGGACAACTGCACCGCATCAAAGGAACGATGGACGGGGCAATGTACCATCAAATCTTGGGTGAGAACCTTCTTCCCTCAGCCAGGGCATTGAAAATGGGTCGTGGATGGGTGTTCCAGCATGACAATGACCCAAAACACACACAGCCAAGGCAACAAAGGTGTGGCTCAAGAAGAAGCACGGTAAGGTCCTGGAGTGGCCTAGCCAGTCTCCAGACCTTAATCTGATTGAAAATCTGTGGAAGGAGCTGAAAGTTCGAGTTGCCAAACGTCAGCCACCAAACCTTAATGACTTGGAGAGGATCTGCCAAGAGGAGTGGGCCAAAATCCCTCCTGAGATGTATGCAAACCTGGAGGCCAACTACAGGAAACGTCTGACCTCTGTGATTGCCATCAAGGGATTTGCCACCAAGTACTAAGCAGGGGCAGACTGACAACTTATGGGGCCCCCGGGCAATAAGGGATCATGGGGCCCCTGTGTCCTTGCCCAAACTCAAAAAAGCCTATGAAAAAGGTACCAGGGGCATCTCATGGGGCCTCCTACTGACCCTGGGCCCTCGGGCAGTGCCCAAGTTTCCAAATGGTCAGTCCACCCCTGGTACTAAGTCATGTTTTGTGAAGGGGATCAAATACGTATTTCCCTCATGAACATGAAAATCAGTCATCATTTGTTAGACATGCATTTCTTTTAAATGTTGTTGCTATTCTGTCTCTCAGTGTTACAATACACCGACCATTCAATTTTTAGACTGATCATTTATTTGTGAGTGGGCAAACATTCAAAATCAGCAGGGGATCAAATACTTATTTCCTTCACTGTACAGTATATATAATGAATACCTGTATGTATATAATGTACAGTGGGGCAAAAAAGTATTTAGTCAGCCACCAATTGTGCGAGTTCTCCACTTAAAAAGATGGGAGAGGCCTGTAATTGGCATCATAGGTAGACCTCAACTATGAGAGACAAAATGAGAAATAAAATCCAGACAATCACATTGGCTGATTTGGAAAGAATGTATTTGCAAATTATGGTGGAAAATAAGTATTTGGTCACCTACAAACAAGCAAGATGTCTGGCTCTCACAGACCTGTACCTTCTTCTTTAAGGGGCTCCTCTGTCCTGCACTCATTACCTGTATCAATAGCACCTGTTTGAACTTGTTATCAGTATAAAAGACACCTGCCCACAACCTCAAACAGTCACACTCTAAACTACACTATGGTGAAGACCAAAGAGCTGTCGAAGGACACCAGAAACAAAATTGTAGACCTGCACCAGGCTGGGAAGACTGAATCTGCAATAGGCAAGCAGCTTGGTGTGAACAAATCAACTGTGGGAGCAATAATTAGAAAATGGAAGACATACAAGACCACTGATAATCTCTCTCGATCTGGGGCTCCACGCAAGATCTCACCCCGTGGGGTCAAAAATGATCACAAGAACGGTGAGCAAAAATCCCAGGACCACACGGGGGGGACCTAGTGAATGACCTGCAGAGAGCTGGGACCAACGTAACAAAGGCTACCATCAGTAACACACTACGCCGCCAGGGACTCAGATCCTGCAGTGCCAGACGTGTCCCCCTGCTTAAGCCAGTACATGTCCGGGCCCGTCTGAAGTTTGCTAGAGAGCATTTGGATGATCCAGAAGAGGATTGGGAGAATGTCATATAGTCAGATGAAACCAAAATAGAACTGTTTGGTAGAAACACAACGCGTCGTGTATGGAGGAGAGAGAATGCTGAGTTGCATCCAAAGAACACCATACCTACTGTGAAGCATGGGGGTGGCAACATCATGCTTTGGGGCTGTTTCTCCGCAAAGGGACCAGGACGACTGATCCATGTACAGGACAGAATGAATGGTGCCATGTATCGTGAGATTTTGAGTGCAAACCTCCTTCCATCAGCAAGGGCATTGAAGATTAATCCTGGCTGGGTCTTCCAACATGGCAATGATCCCAAACATACCACCCGGGAAACGAAGGAGTGGCTTCGTAAGAAGCATTTCTAGGTCCTGGAGTGGCCTAGCCAGTCTCCAGATCTCAACCCCCCATAGAAAACCTTTGGAGGGAGTTGAAAGTCTGTGTTGCCCAACGACAGCCCCAAAACATCACTGCTCTAGAGGGGATCTGCATGGAGGAATGGGCCAACATACCAGCAACAGTGTGTGCCAACCTTGTGAAGACTTACAGGAAACGTTTGACCTCTGTCATTGCCAACGAAGGATATATAACAAAGTATTGAGATGAACGTTTGATATTGACAAAATACTTATTTTCCACCACAATTTGCAAA